TAGATAAATGATTGATGCATTTTTTACTCTGATTATAATAAGATACATGATTGATGTTTTAGTAATTAAAAATACTTTTAATTGGCCAAATCAAACAAGAAATTGAGAGAATTCAAGAATCGCGATGGCAAATATGTTGCAAACAAAATCATTTTTTTTATTTTTTTCTGTTACTGGGTTGTGGCAATAACCCCTCGATAATTTGTGATTGCGATCGTCAAATTTTGACAGATCTTTATTTTCCGATCGTCAAATTTTGACAGATTTTTTTTTTGCGATCGTCACATTTTAACGGACATTACTCATTCATTCGTCAGAAATTCTTTTGCTATCGTTATAATATGACAGACGGTCATTTTCTTCTAACAGACTTAAAGATATAAATGGTCAAAACGATATTCACTTTTGACAAATTTGATGGTACTTCAAACAATCTGAAAGTAAATGGAATGTGCGCAATAATAATAATGTCAATACCCTGCATTGGACAGTTGGATACCATGAATCGACGGAAACCAGAATTAAATATGATAAAAATATATCAAGCCTTCAAGGCAATTTGGAATACTTAATTAAAATGTTGGGTTCCAAAATGCCTAAAATAAATAAAGTTGTAGGGTTGATTGATTGATGAGATGAAACACCACGTTCTATACATTTATAAAAATAAGATGTGGTATGGTTGCCAATGAGACAACTCTAGACTGGTCAGAGACCAACATTCTACACCTGCATATATTTTTTAGGTAGTTCTTTGACATGGCGGATCAAGTTAAAAGTAGATCTGCTCAATATAGGAAAAAACTTAAAGAAGAAAATCCTCTAAAATATTCAGAATATCTGGAAAAACAACGTGAAAGAGCCAAAAAGAATAGAGAAAATCTAAAAAAAAAGAATTGATGAAAAAAAAACCATCTGATGAAGCAAAAAAAAAAACATCGACAATTAGAACAACAAAGGCAAAGGCAAACTCAGTACATAGAAAGAAAGAAATCAGAGAATGTAAACTGGAAACCCAAGAAAAAAGAGAAAGTTACTGATACGCAAACCAGGAATGCAATAAAAAGTCGTCAGCAATACAATAGAGATAAAAAAAGATTAGAAAGGAGTAATATGTCATACCAGAAAATGATGTGGATCCGAAAAAAAGACAGAGAAAAGAAAGCTGCAAAAAGAAAACAGAAAAGGGAAGACGCTGATTCAAAGATCAATAAAAAAGGCAAACTCATGCAAGATCAGCAAGGAAATGCATTCAGTTCAAAACAAACTGAATGGAATGTAACAACAAAGATAAGGACTGCATTGCCTAATACACCTGTAAAATTTGCCAAAATTGTCAAGAATTTAGTGGAAAACGCCACACCAATGAAGAGAAGATCTATGGAAAAAATAGGTATCAAATCTGGTAAAACTAGATTAAATGGCATACCTACAGACATCAAGGCATCTTCAGAAGGCAAAAGTGCCCTCAAAACAATTGCAAAGTCCTTTGTTCATGAAAGCAAAAGATTTTTGAGTAAACAATTGGCACTTAATAGGAGAACAATCACCAGAGTTATTTCAAAGATGGGGAAACAGAAAGGTACCACAGTGGGTAAAGAGGTTATACAGAACTTTTACAAAAGAGAAGATATCGCAAGGATACTACCACAAAAAAGATTTGCTACCAAAGATGGCCCTGGGTATGGTATGCAAATTTCCGTGAAAGCAGCTCATTCAAAATACTTGGCAGAAAATCATGCAAAGCCTGTTAGTCTAGGAAAATTTGCAGCTCTACGGCCTAAAAATGTACGTAAACTTGCAGCCAGTCACAGGGAGTATTGTGCCTGTGTTTACTGTGTCAACATCAGATACAAACTGTTGGTATTGAGCAGGACAGTGAAAGATTCCAGCAAAAAGAAAACGTGTGAAAAGGATATTTTGGATATACTTTTATGCAGCAAATCAGACAATGAGCACTTTCATAAGTCCCAGTATATTAATGGTGAATGCTCAATATGTAATAACTACAATAGGAAACTCCAGCTGTTTTACAACGAAATCCCTGAAAATAAAGTAATGAAGTGGAGAAGATGGGAAAAATCAACAGACAGCGTAACCAAAAAAGTAAAGAGAATTATAGTAACTAAGTCTGGAAATAAGGGTACATTATTGAAAGAAATGGTAGAAGAAGACATCATGAAGCCTGCACAAGGAACAACCTTTATCAAACACCTGCATAATGCGCAATGGCAAAATAAACAATTCAGCACATTAAAAAATACTTTGCCACCGAACTGGACACTACAAATAATGGACTTTGCGAAAAAAAAGAGGAGTAATTTATCAGAACGAGATTAAATCAGCCTTTTTCTCCCCAGAGCAAATAACAATGCATCCCATAGTAACTTACTATCAAAGTGAAGTTGGATTGGTGAGAGACTCGGCAATCATAATTTCTGAAGATTGTATACACGATTATCATGCAGTTAGGCACTTCACTGCTATTGTAGATAGACACATTGAGGGTAAAACTGGGAATGTCCCAACTCGAAAAGTAATCTTCTCTGATGGCTGCAGTAGTCAATATAAGTCTAAAGGCCCGTTTGCAGATTTATCTTTGGAAAACTCTGTTGAAATCAACAGAAATTTCTTTGGTTCAGAACATGGGAAGTCAGATTCAGATGCTGAAACAGGAGTTGTTAATAGAGCTGTTGATAGAGCGATTATAGGGAACCAGGTGATCATTAACAACAGTAAAGATATGTTCAATTACTGCAAAACTAACCTTGAATTGAACGAGAATCTGGGAAAAAGAAGTTTCTTTTTTGTAAAGAAAGGAGACATAAACAGAAATAAACCAGAAACGGAGGTGAAACCTGTACCTAATACTCGAAAGATTCACCAAGTATTAAACATTAAAGATGAGCGATATACTTTACAGAGTAGGACCCTATCATGTTTTTGTCAGTATTGCAGACAAAAAGACTACCAAAATTGTCTTAACAGGGAATACGTGTCAGAATTTACTTTACAAACTTTAACATGTTTGGAAAAAAAATGAAGATTAAAATATAGCAAAACCCAAACCTCTCAGTGCTTCATCAGATAATTTAGAAAAAAAGAAAAAGGTGCCACAGATTATGAAAAATGAAATGAAAGATAATAAAACAACAAAACAACCATTGAAAAAGCCAACTGGAAACATGAAGAAGAAAGATGGAGTCCAAAAGAAAGATATCCTTCAGAAGAAACAAAATCCCTTGAAAACAAACAACTCTGATATAAAAACACAATGTGACAACACTGAAATTAAAACCACTGGAAAAGTTCAAAATAATGTGAGGGAACATATATCAGATAGGGATGCTTTATTCATACAATTGCAATACAAATTGATAAATTGTTCATCCTTTGATGAATTCCAAGCTGAATGCCTAAATTCACTAACACTCAGAGGGCTTTGAAGTAAATGTCAATCACCATATTTCAATTCTGAACCTCCGATGTGGAATAGATAAGGCAGCATTGCAACTTTTGGGAGAAGAATTTTTAGCAGTAAATATGTACCCAATAGAAGTTTATGGTGATGGAAATTGCTTACCCCGATGTGGTGCAGTATTTACTGGCTTGCACCATATTGAATTGCGGGTAAGAATAGCAATAGAAGGCATTGCCTTTGAGCATTTATACATGGATAACAAATTTTTTTAGCAAGGGTTCCGGGCACATATCTGGCAAAAACCATACATCTTTGTATGCTCAGTACTCTGATGAATTTGATCCATCTGCAGTCTAAACACCAGCTGTTGAAAGAAGGCTATATCGCAAAGAACTCATGGAAATAATAAAACCAGGCAGGTACATGGGGATTTGGCAGATGTTTTGTTTGGCATCTGTTTTAAAATCAAAAGTCAGATTAGTGTATCCCCTTTATGGCAGTGGAATGGTTCGAGAAGATCTGAACCGCATCATTTTCCCAAGAGATATTGGGGTTAGTCTTGAGAATGAAATCTGTATTATGTGGTCTCACATACATGGCTGCAATGTTGATAGAAACTTGTGGAGACCAAATCATTTTGTGGTAATACTACCAATGGACAACATAACTCAGGAAATTGATGTTGTGATGGACTCGGAGTCAGAATCTGAAGAAAACTGGAATGTTGGAGTGTCTGAAATCCTGGACCATCTGGAGGATATTGAAGGCAAACCATTGCTTGATATTAGCCTTGAATTCTCAGGTTTGATATCTTTATATATATAGTTAACTAGGAAGAAAAACAGATCTAGGGTTTATTTTGTAAACTTCAATGAGACAGCAACCCAACAACAAAACCAATACCAAACGGGGCCTTTTATAGGTGACTACTGTGGATTCATTATTATTCATGGGATACCAAATTTTAAGGGTATAGGTAAACAACAAATTTAAATGTTCACTGAATCACAAACTTTCTATAAGCTTGTATGCAGACTTTTGCTAAACCACGAAATAAAATATCCACGAAAATACAAATTTTCTTCAAATACACGAAAATTGGTATCCACGAAAATAAATGAATCCACAGTAACTGAGTATACGGTATGGGGTTTTATTATTGTTGAAGGCTGTACGGTGACCTATAATTACAAATATTCACTTATTTGAACTCTGGTGGCTAGTTGTCTCATTGGCAGTCATACCCCATATCTCTATATTTCTCATATTTTTATACAGATGATACAAATGTATGTCAACATGAGAAAGTGTTGTAATAGAACAAATTTACAAGAACAGGTACACAAAAGACACACAACGACAAACATTAAACAGTAAACACTAAAAAACATCGAACATTCCTGTCTAAAAATTCATCAGGTAAACCCATGATCAGAAGTTAGGAAAATCAACATATATATTTGAAAATGACCTCATGAATTGCTCAATAAGTACATGGCAAGTCTTGTTCAACATTGTTCTTCAATCTTTCAGCACTGGACACGTTTTTCCAAACTGCAGACAAAAGAGAAAAAGAGCAGGTCATACTAGACGAACTTATAGTGGATAAAGCACCATCCACTCCATGCAGCAGAGCAGGAAGGTAGCTTTAAATGCCTTTTCCGCTATGTTTGAAATTTATGCTTCATTTTATTGGATAAAAGAGATTTTGAAATACAAATGATCATTTAATTGAAATCTTCTCGGAGAATAACAGATTTTTTTTGCCATGAATGATAAAACTGGAACCCATTTTCAAATATACACTTCTGTATGTATACCACCTTATATGCATGCAAATTACATTCATCAAGGCTCAAGTATGACAGAAATTTTGATTACTGTTCAAAGTAAATGTTACGGCAGTGATGTTTATTAATCATAATTTTATATTCATTGTACTGATTAGAATTGTATTGCCCAGTGTAAAACATCTGGCATACTCAAGTTAATAATTTTTGTTTCATGTTTACAGGCATCATGAAAACACAGAAGAGTCAAACATTGTTACAGAAAACAATGTTCAAGATGTTCCAACAAGGTATGTATAAGTGATATTCTCAACATTGGTATACATACATGTATATGTGATAAACAAGTAAAAATTAAAAAATTAAATTTTTTAATGAAAAATGAAATAGCATTTATTTCAGACACTTGCTTAATCAGGATGTAATCCAACACTTTCAACTTGTTCTCAATGTTTTTAACAGACATTTTAATAATGGTACAAACTTGGCTGTCAAGTTTGGAGATAGTATTATTCCAGCAGTAGTAAGTTGAGTTCATGAACAATTTTCTTGTTATTTCTGTTTTGTTTTATTCACAGTACACCATGAGATGATTATTCTCGAAAATATACTGGTACACAGTGTATAATTGAACACTGTGTCACCTCAAAAATCCTATCAATACATTCATTATCAGGGAACTGTTCCTTTACTTTCAGTGCTTTTCTTATGTTCATAGGGAGTGTGTTATGTGAACCATTACATTAGCTCTAGATATGTCCCTTCATTTACTGTTTTGGGGTTTTACACAATTTTGGTATTGTCAGACAATAATCATCTCTCGTGTTCAATATGTGCTATGTTGCAAGCATAAACTTTCAGTTTGAAGAACAAAACTTTTATGTTTTTAGTTCATGTTTAAAAAAAAGCAGATTAATTCAAATAATTAGTTATGCAAGTACAAATGTAGTAGGAGAATTATATAAATATCATATAGTCTGAAGTTAAAAAATAAAAAAATAAAATAAATCTCTCTTAACAAGTGTAACTGGAGTATACAGAAATTTCAGTATATAAATTGTAAAGAAAAGCTTGTATATTCACACCATTTTATTTTCACTACTGAATATATATATATATACACACAACTGGCTGTCATTTCTAAGTAGTCTTTCCAATATTTTCTGTTCATTTATTTCAAATTTTGTTCTTAAAGATTTCTGAATGGCCATGGATACATTATTACAAATACTATAAAGAAGGAAAATGGATGGATGGACAGACACTGTATACTGTTGCTGCCACGGATGTTCTCAGAACTGTGGACCCGCCTGATATTAAAATAGAAGGCCATCACCTGTTCTACATATTCAGTGGTAGGTACTTGACTGATAGTCATTGACAAGGCTTCTGACTTTTGACAAGCACAGAAATATGTTGAGGGGATAAACTAGTTTTGTCTATATGTTCACAAAATCATTGATTAATCAGTAGAGTAGCACATTACTATACATGTAAATTTAACCAATGTTGTACATGTAGCAACCATAGTTCTAATGCTAGCTTTATCTATTGCAGATAAGGTGTTATAGTAAATTGCATATTGCTTCCATGTTGTTACTGTGCCTGTTTAGATAATTATAAAACAAGTGACAAATTATATATTGTGTATTATCAATGATATTAATTTTTATAAATATAGTGTTATAAATGCAAATTATTTTAGTCAATACATTTTTTTCTTTTAAGGTGATGTTTTCAAGAATGGGCCTCAGAAGATCTTGGACTAACTACATGAACTATGAAGAAAACAAATTTCTGTCAATATTTTTTGTTATAATGATATTATTAAATTGGATTCAATGCAAACTGTGTAGATCTTGTTCTGAAAAAAAAATTAGAATATATGTATTATTGGCTAAAAACTTGCGACTACTTGATATTTATTTTAGTTACCAGTGATTGTGAGGAAGATTTGACCGAAACATTTAACAAGCTTTTTCAGACCAGGTGCTCTTTTCCCAAAAAGGTCTTACGACTAAAATTGATTGCAAGTTATACTGAAATGTTCACGACTTACGAGTACTTTTTCTCGTAAGATTTTTTGTGAAATGAGTTGCAGAAACTTCTTTATTAATACTAGCAAATTAAGTTATTTTATTCCATGATATAAAACAAAAACAAAAACCGAAATAGATACATGGAATAGTAATGAAATATAGCATAAGTATAATAAATATAATGGCCAATCATCTATGGACATCATCACTAATTGGTTGTTTGCTATGGGATGCCTGTGTCCAGAATGACATCAAACTTTCTCCAATTTTTGTAGATATATGTTCCTAAAAATGACCTTCATGAGAAAAAAGGGGAGTGTCTTGCAAGAAGCAGACCCTGCTTAACCTTCCAGAGAACCTGAGGCCACCCCGTTTTTACAGGGTCTTTGTCTTTAGTTCTTTAGTATTGAGTGTCAATTGGTTGTTGTTGTATATGTTTATTGTCCCTGAGATTGTCTTTGTCCTTTGTTTTTCCTTCTTTTTGATTGATTGATTGCTGATTGCTTTACTCCGCATCAGCACAACCTTCTTTTTGACCCTTTGGCTGTGTACCCTTCCTTAATTGGTTTCATTTTACTTATTATACCATTAAATACTTGTTTGATCTTAACAGGAGGTGTCTGTTTCTGTCAAAACTTCATGTTGGCAAATCGATAGCATGATTTTATTAGAATTGTTGGTACATGTATCAAATAGCTTTCTGTCAAATTTTATGCTTGCAAATAGCATAAATTTGTAAAACTTTTATGTTAGCAAAGGGCATTCCGTCAAATATTTATGTTAGCAAATATCAATCTGTCCACATTTTATGTTAGTGAATATTGTTCTGTCAAAACTTTAAGTTAGCAAAAAATATTCCGTCAGAATTTTATGTTAGCAACTAATAGTCCGTCAAATGCTGACATTAGCACTACATTTGTCAGTCAAAAAATGACATCAAAATACAAAAATCTATTTTTTTCTCTTGTAATAAAATCTCTATGTATGATGCATTGTTATATAGCTTATCTATAGAAGTAAAAAACAACTAAACTCAACTTTAAGCAAAACTATCAGAGTTTTATGGCATAAATGTTTATTTATATTTGTTGCTTATGTCATAAATTCCGTCAAAATGTCTGTCAAAAATGACATTAGGAACAATTTTTTTTTATTTGTTTAATAAAAGATTATTATTAGGGGAATAAACTTTCTTTTTGCATATTTTGATTTTGTACCTTATTTTCTACTAATTTGCCAAAAAAAGCTAGTAGAAAAGAGTTAACAAAAACAAATATTTTCAATGTAGTTGTTGGTGCACTTTTAAATGGAAGATGTCTGTTATCATGTTCTTGACAAAATGAGCCAGTATCTTTCATTCCCTTCAGAACTCAGTAGGGTTTTAAATGTGCTAATTTCTCGTTTGTGTTCCTATCAGTATACTATATAATAAACATAGCACATGATGAACTAGTCTCGTCGAATTATTAAATCTGACCACGGGATTTAGGCCGTACTGTTGTCAGTGTAGCGATAGGTGAACAGAACAGAGGTCCAGTTTAGATTCACAGCACATGTCACTATGTTATTGTTCTATTATAGATTTGAAAATACTTTGAACGACTAATTTATTTTACTCTCGTAATGGTATTGACCATATGTGGATTCTTAAAATTTTTAAAGAACTTCTGGATAATTTTAAACCTCGGTCTGTTTCTGAAATTAGTTCTAACATAACTTTGATATTTAAACCCTGTACACCACCATTCCCCATGTAGAATTATATTATTTTTTAAATACTTTGAACGACAAAATTATTTGATATTTTATTAGATAGATGCTTTTTTTGTTAAATATTTGTCTTTTTAGAGATTGAGACACATTGATGACTGCTATACCCATATTTTGACTATTTTACCTATTTTGTCTTGTTTTGTTCACGCATCGATGTAAATATAATGGAACTTGATGCTACTGTCATACAAGTGAGAGGTTTAGCGCTATAAAACCAGGTTCAATCCACCATTTTCTACATTTGAAAATGTCTGTACCAAGTCAGGAATATGACAGTTGATGTCAATTCGTTTGATGTGTTTTATCATTTGATAAGGGACTTTCCGTTTGAATTTTCCTCGGTGTTCAGTATTTTTGTGATTTTACTTTTTGTTTCACAACAGAGCCTGTTTTATAGAAGTTTACAGTTAGTGAGCAGTTTTTGTCATTTTCGAAATCGCATACAATTTTTATAACAGCACCATCTTTCACCGATGTAGTTTTTTACCGGGACCAAAGTATTGTATGATAGCATTTTTCTATTAATCGATTCTCGAGGGCACTGTACTGAACGTGAATTTATTGATTCTGCCATCATGTATCAGGTACAAGAGAGAATATGTTAATTATGTAAAAGAGATATAGAGGATGAAAAACATTTTTTATTACAGTGCCCAATTTTAAAAAACAAATGAAAAGATGTAATTTTAGAACTTAAAAAAAAATATGTCAACTTAAAAACATTGATTTAAAGTCAAAATTTATTTGGTTTATGTCATGTAAAGATAAATATGTTCATAAATTGCAATACCTAATTTCTGATTTAGAATGTGAGAAAAAAAAACCTTACTAACTCTAGAAATGTCTAGTTGTAATAAGATGTCAAATTCTTTAAAATTATTATAATATATGTTATTTTTATTAGATATAAATTATTCAGTCTATAATAACAAAGAAGACTGGGTTGTGCATATATATCCAAAAAATTTGGTCACTGACATTGGACATTATATATATCATTTTAAGTCCTTTATAGACCATAACAATTATTTAAAAAAAAAATTTTTTCATCACTGATATCAACAAAATCAATGATAATCGTATGTATATATCACAATTTGTATTAATTATTCTGCTCTTCATGGGCGTCTTGATTGACAAATACAACTATTCTTATTCTTATTCATTCTGTAAATGGGTTACGGGCGATTCATGTGGAACTAGTTCTTTGTTTTTTTATCTTTAAATATGTTATATATAAATCATTTTCAACTATGCAGTCCACATATTTTGATGGAGGTTTGCTTTCTCGAGTAGAAACTGTCATGATATCAGATGATTTGAGATTTTACGCCTCTTGTTAGTTGATAATTGATATGTTTGACATGATTAATCATCTGTTCAAGTAAATCGGAATGCCATCATTATCAATAGGACCTGATTTGAATACTAGTACCATAATAAAGTTCCAACATCTTTAACTATAGGATTTTGGATTACTTCTTCAGTGATAAATAATAGAAGTGACAGCAGCCATCAAACCGGAAGTCATGCTGCTGATTTACAAGAGGGGCGAAAGATAACAGAGTGACAGTCAAAGTCACAGATCGAAAACAAACTGACAACGCCATGGCCAAAAAAGAAAAAGGCGAACAGACAAACAGCAGCACAAAAGACACAACATAACTAAAGACTAAGTAACACGAACCCCACCAAAAAATGGGGGTGGTCTCAGTTGCTCCGGAAGGTATTACAAATCCGGTGAAAGGGAAGGGTATTGTAGTTACGACATAAAGAACATATCGGATATCATCTGTGAAACGCTTATTCCATAACGGTCAACCAACTGGTGATGGCGTCCGTAAAATTTACGAAGGGATGATTTCAACTTTGCCATTTGAAACTCTTGGTTTAATAGCTTCCTTGTGATCAGTCACCCTCTACCAAGGAAATCATGATAGGAAATACAAGCCCGGGAATATCGTTTCAATTGGGAGATATATACTCCGTATGCAGGCGCTGCTGGAATATTGCTACATAGAAATGGAAAGTTCCCAATTGGGAAGCTGAAATCATCTCTTATGTCTTAAAGTTTTGTTTTTAACCGACCCTCATTGTAAATTTCTAGATGTAATTCAAGATATGAGACATAACTGTATCTGTAGTATCTTTTGTCGTCTATAGTTCGATGGGATAGATTCGTTCAACATAGTCACCAAATTTTGTATTATTAAGTGAGATAAACTCATCTATATAGCGGAACGTGAAGTTGTTAAAGGATATTGCTAACTTTTTATCTTTCTTTCTAAGAAGTTCCTGTATGAAGTATCCAAATCTGATTCACGCCACCTCTAGAATAGACAGTTTCACAATAACTTTGAAGCCCTGCTTTAATTGCTTATACAATTGATGTTAATAATTTAGAAACCGGTTTCGTGGAGCACTTGGAAGACCCAGCAATATACCGTTGTTTGTAAAGACACTAATGCAGTTTAGGTATCCAATACAGTGATGGAAGATACAGTATTTCATCTTTGGTTGAAATTCCAAAGGAACATAGAACAGACCTATGATTATCAAGGATAAGTTATGTCTTGCATTTTATTCAAATATATTCTTCTGCTAGAGAAAATGACCAGCTATATCAGGATCAAATTTAGGTTAACGTCTGTGGTGACGATTTTGAAAT